TGGGTAGAAAGGCGTAAAACTGTGTCAAATGACTTTGGAAATGCAAAATGACAGTGTCGTTCTGATTTAGAACCAAACAAGGGACACTGCACAATTTTCATCAAAAAAGATGGTTCAACAGCACGAATTAAGGTGGACGATCGAGGAGGCCAGCCTCGGTGCGCGACTTCCTGCACGAGTAGAGGAAATACAGGGCAAATATCATAGGGAAGGGTGGAACGTGCATAAAGGTGGTTCGAGGCACAATACAGTGGGAAAGTAACTGCGAATGCACATTGTCATTTTGAGACGAGTGTTTGCTGCCACTAGGTGGGAGAACCTGCGTTTTAGTGTGATAAATTGGGACATTCGTGCTTGGCTCGGGGACTATGGCTGAAAAGTCGTGCCGCTAAGTGAGAAGCCATGAGTTGTCGGAAATTGGGGGAGGTGTAAACGCTTGCATCTGCTGCCACTACTGCTTTTGGGTGTTTGGTAAAAGCTTTGGCGGGAAAGGATTTTCTTAGTGCAGTTAAAGACTGGTCAATAGTGGCAGCTAAATTTGTAAATCTAAATGGGCTATAAATGGAGGAGTGGTGGAGTTGCTGTTCTACTTGAATGGGTATAGTCATGGTAAAAAGGTCGAGGAATTCTGGCTCCACTGCACTATGAGCTATGCACCACCAAACGTTCTTCAGCCACGAGTCTTTCGTCCTTGTTTGATGCCTCCGCTCACCACGGTCTTTTGTCATTGATGCTTCCAAATTCTACAAAGACCCTAACTGCACTATATGTCTTGACAACCTGCAGTGTCAAGAAAGTGGACCTAAATTCTCTTTGGTCTGCGGTGCGAGTGTCAATGCAACAATTATTATGCACTTCGAACCTAATCTAGGAATACCTTTTCGGAATTTCTTCTAACCTATTGATATTTTATTAAACGCGATTCTACGTAGCGATTTGTCTAACCAATTTTTCACTTTCTGTTTTTCGTTATGCACGTGTTTAACTTGGCTATGCGATGCGTAACGTGCTCAATTCCACCGGTTTAGCCAATAGGAAGTTGGTGGAGGAGGTTTGCTGGTTTATGAGTGGAAAAAGCGTGTGGCATGCTGTGTGAGCTGTGTTTGCAATGACGACTGCTACTGTTTTAACACTAGCGAGATGCCTTTAAATGGTGGTTCTCCGCATGATGTTTGCCACTATTTGCGGACACACGGGACCTCGCATTTCCCCCTGTGGTCATCAAGAGGAGGTGCGGTGCGTGAGTTTTGGATCAGAGACAGGTGGGGAGCTACCATGTAATTGCATGCATTTAATTGTATCAGTGAAGAAAACTAATTTTTGTGTCTATTGTCGCCAGACCAACACGCCTTGCCAAGTCATGCGGCACCTCCGCGTCCTCTCTGACCTCGCTGATAAAGGTGATGGCTTACTAACAATTTTCTTAACTCACTCATTCCTCAGTACACACTTGATTGCGTTCTAAGGAATTATATGGCGAAGAGCTGTCATCTTTCTTCCACGCCATGCAACATGCGCATCCTTGGGCGTACAGCAACGCGGCGAAACCAGTTCCGCCAATGCTTACAAGACATTGTAGGACCTCAAATTCTTTGTGAAATCAGCTCTTCTGGGCTGACACGGGGATACTTTCGTTTGGTATCAACTTTTACATGGGTACGAAAGTGTCGCGCACTTAAGAATTGAATCAAAGTGGATTTCGATGGAAGCCTTTATACCACAAGAAGTACACTTGCACAAGCATGTTTTTCCTGTTTCCAATTACGGTATACACATACGCATACACCTTTGATGTCAACTTGGATTGTATTAAAGTGTCACGCTTGGATGTAAGGCCATTCTTTGCTTCAAAAAATGTATCCGCATTAGCACCATCTTTAAGCGTTTGTGCAGAACTGAGTAAAGTTATTTTAGATCGGTTCATAAAAAAAGAAATTATACATGAATTTGGTATTCATAACACCGACTGTAACTCTGTCCCAATTTTTCCTGTACAAATAAGATACTTTGCTGTAAAGTCAAATGGGGAGCTGAGACTTGCGAAAGTGGCAAACTGCGTGCTATCCACTCCTTTAAACTCTGCCTCGAGAACTTTTGGTGAAGAGGAGAAACTGATTGCGAATGCGTTTAATCTGTTGTTTTGCATCTTCTTAGCCTCGTGGATAGGTACTCTTGACTGTAAACTGGCTTGTAGTGTGAAAGTGTTTTGATCTGCAATGCTCCGCATCGGGCAGCTCACCACCCCTTCTAACGCTGCACGCCATTTCGCCATCCATTGACTGTTGGCAAAGCTGATTTGCTTGTGAATGAATGCAATGAATGCCCTTCACTGAGACACTAGTGAGATGCAGGGGAACAAGACAGCACCGTTCACCAAATGTCCAGTACGGAGAGGATGTGAGCCACTTCAGCGACCAACTCGCCAGTGTTGCTGGTCTTCCTTTTTGAGTGGGAGTTTGCAGACATGCATGAAAGTGAAGGAGGGTGGAAGACAGAGCTGCATCTTTGATAAAACTAAAATGGAATTGATTGAGACAGTCTAGCTGATAAATGCGCAAAGAAGAAGAGGTAAGAAGAGGGGAGGGTGTGGTAATCAAGCGACAGGCAGTGAAGACAGAATGGGAGGACGAAGGATTAAAATTCGTGCCGTTCTCTGGTAGAAGGGCAAACAAGACCCAAGTGCAAATGTTTTGAAAGCCTCTGCTTTGTGCAGTAGTCCTACCAAAGATATCATTTTCCTAGCCATGTAAAGTAGTAATTTTGAATATAAAGTGTGGACTTAAGGCTATCTCATTTTCATTTTCCTAGAATATATATCTATAACTCTTTTAAAAACTAATAAATAGTTTGCTTCATTTTGGGTGTTATTAATGTAGTTCCTTTTTTGGATTGGCGTTCGAGTTCTCAAGCCTAATTTAAGGCCCATGACATCGAGTTAATGGCTTTTCAGTGAAACTTGGGAGGTTCTAAGACTACCAAATTTGCTGCAAAATACACTTAAAAGTGGTCTGTAATAGGCAGACATCCCCAAACTATCCATGCTACTTATGGGAACGAGTAGTTAGTACACAGCAATATAAATCGACCGCTTCAAACTGATTAGTCTGTGATTATTTAAATCGGCATAATGCTTATTAGTGTCCGTCTCCTAACTGGTACTTGGCGTCGTTGTTTTTCTTCGAGGCTTTATTTGTCGAATAAAGAGCGTAGTGGAAAGCAGAACGACCTTCTGGATGACATCGTTTGGGAGGGGAGATTAAAAGGTTGCATCTCTTTCGCTCTCCTTCCTTTTGGTGCGGCACCTCTCCACGTTACACGACTATTCGCGCTCAGTTCGTGAAGTGTCATTTCCTACGTCAATGGAGGTGGACAACTTTTTTAAAAACATCTATAAATCAAAAGCTACTTATGGTGTGTTCGAAGTAATGCATCAAATATAGTGCTTGAGGCGGAATCATTAACCCTATTATTTCCTTTTCAGACGCACAAAGAGTGAGCTTTAGTCTAAGTCCTTTCACATGCACATGCTCTGAGTGTGGGGTTTTAAATTGACGTCGTGAGGACGTGCAAATGATGCCACTCTACAGATTAGAGCTAGTTGATTGAACATCTCGAGACTCGCTTAAATTCTTCAAAAGAGGTTGGAGATTTCGTTAATGAAGGAGCAAATTTAGTAAGAAACAATGGCAAATGGCCATTTAAGAAGGCTGAAGGTGTCGCGCCCAGTCGCCGGTGCCGCCGTCCGTCCCATTTCAGTGCACCAACGTCAACGAATAAACAACTTAAGCGAGACAGAAGCTGCTCAATTCCATAGAATCCTTAATTCCTACCACAAATACCTTAATTAAGGAAAGTTCCATTTTCATGGTGGCAAATTTTGCTCATCACTTTAATCCTTGTGAGGATTTGCACTGTTTATCTACAAAAAAGTCGCATCCGCACAGTTTGTCAAAAGTGATTGAAATCAGAGTGAAAAGATGCCATTCCAAGCAAACACAATTCTGATAGCAAGTGAATTTGCATGTCAACTTCAAACAAATCCCATTCGTACGCACTTAAGCCTTGAGAAATAAACCACAAAGAAGCAGCTTTTCATGTTGCGATGCGAGACATTTTGAGTGCATTTTCCTTCGCATCAATCTGAAACGTTTGCAACATTTTAACTTGACATATGTGATAAGACCTCGAATTCTTGCCAACTCGCACAGGTGAAGAGACGTACCTGACATCGCAAGTGTGTCGCTTTGGCGTCGTGATTAGCGAGATCCAATCACCTTTCAATGGCACTCCAAGTGAGATTAAATAACAAAAGATCTACTACAGAAAGTCAATTGCGAAATGGCAACCGCTCAGAAACTACCTTCCAAGTATGTCAAGTTGGCGAAGACGCAGCTCGGTGAGGATCCCAAGAACACATCCGCACACATTGAGTCCCTTCGACGCTGGCTGTCTTCAATGCCACACCTCACGTGTCCAGACGGTAGGTCGCCCAGCTCACATCTCCTAAGCAGGCACACTCATTTCATGGATCGCCACTCCTCTTGTTGCAATGACGAGGTGGTGTATCGGAGGGCAATGTTTTGTTAACACTGCCTACTCGGTGCGATCTTTGTCGGGTGCCAATTGACAAGTATTTCTTCCTGTCAAATTCACTTAATGTGCTCTATTGCGGTGTTGTCCTACTTCGTGCAAAGAAATGCTGACGGATCAGTGCACAACTGGTCGTAGTCGTAGTTGACAGTTACACTGTCTTCATTCTGATCGCGCAATTAATGAGTGGTTCCTCTATGGGACCTTTTTAAGTAAAATGAAACAAAATTACGCATCATCTTTTAGACAGTAGCAGCGATATTCCTTAGGCTGCGGCATAAAATGGCTAATGACGGGTCAGTTCGCCACAATCTACAAACCTGTTTTTAATGGATTGAAGGCAGCATTTTTTCCACCACCTGTCAGGTTAAAGTTAATGCAGAATTCTGCTTCCAACTTTTAATAATTTTAACAAAAGGCACTTCAATCATGGGTGAGTAAACGTTTAATCCATCCACTTGATAACACGACAGTAGTGCAGGCGCATGCCTGGGTGTGGCGCCATTCTTTCCATGCCTTTTTCTCGGCTTTTCAGATGACGACTTTCTCCTCATGTTTCTGCGACAAAGCAAATTCATTCATGCCAAAGCACAGGCCAGGCTGGACAACTTTTGCACTCTCTCCACCATAAAGTCCATCGGCGATGTCGTCTGGAGTAGTCCAGTTGACTTGAAGTCGAAGGAGCTCGACAACTACCTCAATGCAGGGTAATGTGCCTGGACTTATGCAACTTACTGCCGTAGTACTGCAATTTGCGAGAAGTGGTTAAGTCTTACCTAACAGTCACTGCACATAAATTTTATCTTAAACTAACAAAAGCTTGGTGCAATCAGGATTTCGTCGCAGTGCATGTCATTGTCTCTTCTGCTCCAACTTATCGACGTTACCAATCTATTCGTAGTTTGCATCTTCCTCTGGATTACATGGAAGACGGGAAATCGTGCTTTTGGATACGGCCAGGTAAATCCATTGAGTTCCTTATCAAAGCCTAGGCGTCTGGGACCCCGATGAACTTCCAATAGGACGACTTTTCTACTACGCCTATAAGGTCATCTTTATGATGGCCTTAGATGCGCGAACGATAATCGGTGGCTCTGTAGTCCTTTTGGACTTCACTGGCAGCACTTCAAGACAGATCGTTAAGGATCCGAATGTGATGAAATTATGGAGCAGATTTTTACAGGCAAGAAATGCGGTTCTCTTTTACTACACATTGCACACCCACTAACCTCATACACCTTGGTGAGACTCCGTTTATAATGGTCGAGCCTGTGCCTCGAGACGGTTGGTACTTTCCTGTAGAAAAGGATTTAATTTCGAAGCAGGTGCAATCAACGGTAGTTTGGATGACTTTAGGGTGAACGTACAGGTGCAGTAAAGGGCCTTTTGACTGGCAACTTTGCAGCCCACATCATCTTAACGAAATCGCATTTGTCGTTGATAAATCACAGATTGTTCTTTTTAGCTCCAAACTTAAATGAGTAGTAAATTTTTAATTTATGCAGTGCATTCATTGGATCCAGTGCAGGTGTGATGTTCTTTGCCCCCTTTTCCTAACTTCAGCATAGTTGAAGCATAGAGATGCTGCAGTGAAAGTAGGTAAAAATGGATGTCTTCTTGACTGCAGGAAGCGATGCCTATGAGGCCTTGCCACATAATTTTCTACAACGAAGGGAAACTGCTAGACACCATGAAGAATATCATGATGTTCTACATGAAGGAGAAAATGAAAAGCCGGGTTAGTTGGTCGCCTTTTTTCTGCTATTCTATTAACCTACTGCACAACCTGCGTGAGGACAGAGAATTTGTTTTGTGCTTATAAATTCAACAGATGGTGTGGTGCGGTTCAGATACCGAGAAAATCTTTGAGACTGAGCCTGGTTTGAGGGCTGTGCTGCCGCCAGATATAGGAGGTGACGGCAAGCCCCTTGAGGATCTTATTCGTAAGTCAAAACCATCCTTTTATAGGACACAGCGATTTAAGATAATAAAGATTCGATACATTTTACAGCTTTTTACCTGTTAGACACAACTTAAGCATTCATCAATGCTAATTTCTATAGCAGAGTAAAGTTTGCTAGCCATCAAATCAAACCGGACTTGTTAAGCTAAATGAAGGAGGAATCTTGAAGTTGTCGCTTTAATTAGCCGATAGGTTTGATGTTACGAATGGCATTGTTGATATGCTTTAGAGGCAAACAAGAAGCGCTTCCGCGAATTTTACGGTAAAGGCGATGCAACAGAAGCAATTAGAGTGGATGAGTCGAAGAGGCCGCTATCTGCTCGCGACTTCTTACAGGAATACAAGGATTACAATGCAAACGTCATGGGGAAGGGCGGTACATACGTCAAAATGGATCAAGGAGAAATATAAAGTGACATACAAAATATTCGAATCTAGCAAATAAAATTCTGAAAATTGGATTGTAAGATTTTTCATGCCAAGGCAAACCTTCGGGAGATGCTTGCGCCGCCCGAAAGATTTGGATTTAAAAAATGCACTGGTATTGACTAGTCGTTTTGGAAAGGAACAGGATGGCCTTATTTCATTTGCCTTACTTTGTTAAACCACCGACTTTACCTCCAATAAATTTAGTGTCCATATTGTTTCAGTTGGGTTGGATGGCTGCGTTATACATGTTTAACTCACTAAATGGGCCATTTAAAACCATTTCGGATTCTCGGTTTCGTTAATAGTATGGCTGTTAAATAAATGAGGGTGATGACACTCTGTTCAGCACGAACCGTATGGAAATTATTAGTAAAGATGGCCATGTTTGATATTCCTAAGTCCTAAGCACACTAAACTGAACATTATTTCGGCACCAAATGATCAGTGATCCTAGTCACGTTAAAGAATGTAGCGTCCCGAAACTTCCCATAGGGTGTAAGAAGGCAGTAAGTGAGACTGGATACGTGTATTCCAAAGAGAACAGAGCGAATGGGCCTAGGCATGACCCGAAGGCCAGCCCACGAGTACATGGGCTAAACCAATCTTAAAGTGAATGCCGAACTTCAGATAGCCACATAACCAAAGCATTATAAAGACGTACTTTGCCTTAAGATAACAATACAATGTTCAGTGCTACAAATTTACGATGAGATTGCAGTACTTTATTTGTTTTACCGCCTGATATTTGGGGGTTTCTTTGGTACTCGTCTTGTCCTTGTAGGTATAAGCTGTCTTTAGGCCAAGCCAAGGCTCAATGTCTTCTCATCATCTTAAAAAACATGCATTCGGCCAAACTTGATTTTCGTTTCTACCTAGTGGTAAGTCCCGGGGCACTACACTGGTGGCAGCGGAAAGCCAAACAAATATTTTTAACGACTTCTATCCTAGTACCCACAATATGTGGCAAGGCGCGTATACTTCGATTGAAAGATTCCCTATTTTTGCACAACTGAATCAACACTGCTGCAAATCACCTTAAATGGTTTCGTTTCAGAACTCTTCTCATTACATCCGCGTGTAGATGTTGATAATGGCACCATTCCGAATCCCTCCCAAATGAGCTTGACTTCGAACAAAGTTAAGTTGCGATCCATTCTCATTCTTGTACTTAATGGCAAGTCCTGTGTCTATGTAAGTGTGGCCCAAATTTTTAATTAGACTTGGCATTGACTACTGATTTTTGTCAGACATATTTAGCGCATCGGACATTTCGGTGGTACAATTAAATTTAGACTTTTCGGTTTCGACAATCTTAATTATAGGCCTTATTGACTATATTTTGGTAAATGCGTTTAAGCTAGTCATGCAATCTGTAGCGCTTATGATCTTGCTTATCTATCCAATAGAGAGTCAGAGATGGAGCTTCGGGTGTTTGTTAACGGGAAACCGAGGGACGTGTGCGGTGTAGATGAAAACACGACTGCTGAGGATGTAGTCAACGTCTTGTGTGAATCTCTTAGTCTTGCTGGGTACTACTGTCTCGTAGCATATTGGCGGAAAAATGAAATTGTTTTTTCACCATCTGAAAGCCCTCTTAATGTCATTACGAGGTAAAGCCTGCCGTCTGTAAATTGTGCCTAAACTGAATCTATTACAATTTTAGCAATCTTTATTGACTTAATTTATTCTGGAGCAGAGTTGGCGAGCATCCAAAGCAGTTTCAGTTTGTTCTTCGTCGAACCGACGTCCACCGATCCCCGAACCCGGCGCGGACGCGATCTCCCATCCCTACGTCGCATCATCACCGTCGAACACTGTCTAACTCATCACAGTGTATACCATTTCAGAATGCTGCAACATCCTACAGTAATTTTCTTACATATGCTACTGTCCATTTTCCCTAATTTTAAACCACATTTACTTTTTCGCAGATCATCCACACGAACCCAGCCTCAGAAGACCAGAAGACAAAGGCAACTTTGTTGTGAAATATAAATCGTTTAATCGTTTTTTGATATAGAAGTGGCGGCCGCTTTCGCAGGTCGAACTCAGGAACTGGATATCGGTTGTACTGCTGAACTGCAGCAACTTTCCATGGTCGACTGGAGTCGACGTCTTGAGGAGGAGCGCCAACACCAACTTAGCCTCCTAACTGAGCGTAGCCGACTCCAACGCGATCTTCAGCGTTTAGACACTGAACTTCGACAAGTTCGGTGAGCCTCATGAGTCTCTTCGACCTCATTCTCTTTCACCACTAACCGTTTCTGCTTTTTCGAGTTCTAGGGGTAAGGTTCAAGGTCTTGAGTCGGAAATGGCAAGCGAGCTAACGAATCTCCTAAACGCAGTTGATGTAGCATTGGAGGGGAGACGCAAAATTGTTGCCGATCTTTTGGTTGCCTCTGAGGCACTCCAGTTACCAGCATCAAGTAGACCCACGCCGGTGTGTGACGAAGTGATGATCTGATTATTTTCTATCATCTCCCCTCCTTCGCGTGCTTCCAACTCTTACATGCTTATTTGACTTTAGCGTGTGTACTTATGTATTTCAGCTACCGCCTGTATTTCATTTTCAATGGATAGATCAGTTATAAATGATGTTTTTAAATCCACTCATTGTGTTTGCATAAATTTGTATTTTTGCAATAACAATCTGGTGGGTTATGCGTTAGAGTCGTACCTACTTTGATGCTAAATATTGGCCACTGAAATGGCACTGAGAAATGAGGTGAGTCTTGGCAGCGCTCAAATGTACCTTCTATGGAATCTCGTCACCAAATGGACATGAAATATTGGCGAAAGCATCTTTACTGTGGGGTTCCTCTAATGATGAGATACTACTTAAGTTGGTTCAGTAGCGTAATCACTAGGCCTACAAATGGGTGGAAGCAAAACGTGGCAATGGTAACGTTCAGTATTACCTATTTTTGTTCAACAGTCCATGCAGGCATTATGCAATGTATCATTCATCTTTTCTTTTCCGCTTTTTAATGCTCACTATGCTCCTGTTTCGTGCAGCATTGTTCTCTATTAGTGGAAGCTTCGGTACTTGTGACACTACGCACTGGAATGCGTAATTGGATATTTCTGAGGGTAAGTTGGGGAGAATCCCATCGATTAACCAGGGTGAAACAAGACACTCATTAACAAATTCATCCAAATTAAGACCTCCGTCAACAGACAGTCCCATTTTCTTAATCAAATATCGAAGCGTATCTCGACTCGGTTCCTCGGGATCGATTTCTGGGGCAGAAGCTGCCACTCTGGGATTAAAGCTTGATCTCAACGAATGGGCAAGTTCTGTTTTGGCCGTGATTAGTCCATCATCATTTTCGTCTAGAACGTAAAAGCTCAGAACGGCACGCTCCTCGATACTGCCACGCAGGAGCACCGACATTAGATGAACAAAAGTGAGAGAATCGAAAGCTCCCATTAGTTTGAAATTTCCATGGCACATTAACTTGATTCCTGCTCTATACAGGCCCTGTAGACTCTCCACATTCGTGATATTCAGAGTAAGGTACAGAAAATTCATTAGTTCAGCTTGTTTCATAGGACGAACCTCGTAGTTGGTCAACGTATAGTACACATTGAGCAGAGTGCTGATTTCATAACGGTTAAAGTGGAGAGAGAGATTCTTGGTGGTCTTATTGATGTCTTCAAGAGCGGCTCGACGAACGCTAAAGATGTGATTAGGTCCAAATTCTTCGTAACGGACACCCTTGAGGGCTCTTTCGAGAAAGGTTTTCGGTGCAAGATTGCGTCGTAACGGAATTAAGTCAGGGTTGTTTAAATAATAAGCTGAAGGAATAAGAAAGGTGTTCTTGTTGTTTTGTACTCTCAGACGCCAAATTCGGGGATCCATTAGGCTGTAACTAGACGAGGAGATGACAAAGACCCGTTTGACGGTCGAATGACCTTGAGGTGCAGTGTTTGAAGGTGTCTCGTCCATTGATCTTTTAGTAATTTCCTCGAAACAGTGGAGTCCGGCTGGTTCAGCTTTTATGCAACTTCAATAACTCAGGCCTTTACATATTCTGATTTTGCTCGAACTCAATCTTGAAGCTAACTTTCACTTCTATTGCACTTTCACCTTTAAACATTTTGTGAGTCTGTCATGCTCCAAGCAAGTCTCAATCGTGAATACTTCTGAGTCATGGCTCATGCAAATGTCAATCAGCCAGTTCGCATCAAGAATAAAGCAGTTTAGAGTTATTGGTTCTGTGACACTGTGGCACCTCCTCAAAGGCTGGACTGTGTCGCCTGGCGGGGGCATAATCAAGCCTACATGAATGTTTGCGAAATCACAACGAACAATGCATCAGCATGACAGAAATTTTGGATGCCGCATTCCGAACCCGCAGGTTTTTCATGCCCTTTTGATAGTACATTTTGGTGGTGGCGTACAACAGTCTTGAGGCACGTGATGTTTCGACTTGGCCAGCTCAGCGTGCACCCACCCACCCACCCACCCTGTAGGAGCTTTGTCTGAGCACAAATACTTATCAATTTTTATCATGCAGTCTCAGTCTGCTCCCCAGTAGTTTAGCGTGGACACTGCATTTTGTAGAAATGGTCCTTTAAGTCTGTCATAATCCACTAATGGACGTCACGTGGTCCCGATAAGCTTAGCCTCCACTGCTCTCGCAGTGAGGCAGTCATCAACTCATTGTTATGGAGTGATTTGCCCCAGAGTTCAAATGCTTGAATGTTCGAGAACTTCTGTGCACATCTTACAACGAATGTTCGTACGCCTTCAAATTAGCTGTGGCATTTGACAATGCGAATCCTAAACTTAAAGAGAGGAGAACCTCTAAGACCCTCAACATATGCAGCCATTTTGCAACCCCGAACGTCTCAACCATTATTCGACGATTTTTGCCAGTCCTATAACTTTTCCATTGGAACCACCCATCTACTGTAAAGCCCCTCGTGTTTCTCACCGCCGAATGCTGGTAAGCACTGATCTCCAGACCCCGTAATTCCATCCCATTATAACAAAATGGGACTAAGTCAACATGAGAGATTTACAAAAACGCAATTTGTCATCATCCTTAACAAAGCCAAAAGTTGATAAACTTAAATTATACTGCGTCTCGGCGCCCGACTGATCCGTACCAGAAACAAGTCAAAATTATGCATGCTGAACTTCTGCACTAAATTCGACGTGTGTAAAGCCACTTTGGCCATTTCCTCATTTGACCGTCCAGTTTTACAAGAAAATTAATTGAACTACTGTCTGATGGCAGCTGGAAGTGTCCAAGTCTGATACAGCAGTGGACCTCCAATTACTACCAGTGACAACACATTTGTCTGCCGCTGTCTTTGAAATTTTGCTGGAGTAAACAGCAGAAAGCCAAATCAGACGACGTAGCTGCTGGATGGCTTCGCAGGCATGTAATGAGTGCGTGTCTGGTCTCCTAAGTTGTATCCGATAGCCAAAAATTTGGTCGAATCAGATTAAACGAGAATTTTAAAAATAGTTTATAAACAGCTAGAGACGTGCTGCTGATGGGGAATAAGGTGGTTGTAAAGACCGTTTGCCGTGGTATACCAAAAATTATGAGAAATGAAGCAATAGATAGAGCGACAAGGAAATGAGGAGATGGTAAGACAAATTTGATTAATCATTCTCCAACCTAAAACACCGACATTGGGTGCGTGCCTTTCCCTCAGCTTTGAAAACCCTTCCTCTCTTTCCGGACACTCGTAATTTATTCAACAAAAAAGCAGTTCTCTAATTCATCAGATTTAAAGTCCACCGGCCGTTCAATTTTAACAAGACTCATGAGGCAGTCTGAAGAGCCACTCTGGTGAAGACATGGAGCACCAATCCTTGGATGTCCCTTGAATCACTGCGCCTGAGTGGCGAAGACGATCTCCCTCAAGTTCATGTTGAAGCCTCGTTATTGCCTTCGTCTACGGTCTCTAGCTTCAGGAAAGTGATCGCGAAGATCCATACATTGTATGACGGTGGTGAAGACTACAGAGTTTGGAGGTCCCGAGAGCTCAGTTTCAATCCCAACCTCTCCTCCATCTGCTAGTTTTAGTGTTAAATTAAAGTAGTATTGTGTTAACCTGCAAGAAAACAGCACTTGAATGTCAATCTCTATCTGTCCAAACCATTATTAATTTCTTGGCTGAAAGGAGCACCTCAATGCTCCCTTCCACTCATTCCTCCAGAGCTCAAATTGACCTTTGCAAAATTAGCAGTTACTATTAATAGCACGTGCAATGCTTCATCCTAGGAAAAGGAAAAAAAATAAACAGCAGTGAGTCATGGAGGGAAAGTCAATGCCTACTCAGAGTATGATCCCCGGGTACGGCTGTGGGACTAAAATAATGTAAAATTCTCGCCAAAAATTTCGCCCATCGGGTTGAGACGGCTGCATGTCAATCTGAGCTCTTCTGCAGTCTCGGTGGCGAAAGCCTCGCTGCATCGGAGACGTTCTAATGTCAAAATACAAATACCAACAGATGTACCACAAAATTATTTACTTTAAATCCTCCTCCAATCCAATAAAATCCGTTTTATTTTCTAATAATTACTAGACTCGTGCACTCTGGATGTTGGAGGGTTTTCCAACGACCCGGTGATGTAGCAGATGGCAAAGAGCACACCGTGCGTCTGAGTTATGCCTCGAGTAATCATTTTGTGCATTTCATTTCACCAGAAGAATCCTCAATCATCCCCACGCTGTGGTGGTGGAGCAGTTCCAATGCTTAATCAGCTTGCAGGACCTTCAACACACCTTCTAAAGGAAAACTCCACTTCTGCTAGAAGACCACCAACACAAAACGTGACACTTGGAATCGAATTTTACAAAAAAAGCACGAACAATAATAACAAGCCTAATACATTTAATTCCCGTTCTTGAAGGATTAATTCGCTTCCAAGGCACATTTCGAAGGGACGCAATCAGCTCAAAACCACTCTCATACCCACAAAACTCTGCGCATTAACAGTATTGTGATTGTACGAAGACTTCACAAGGAATAGTTGAAATGAATATTTGAATTGAGTTGATGTGCGGTGCTAAGAGAACAAAACAAATAAACCTTTTTTTAACATTTAAAATTGCAGAATACCTCCTCGTATTAAAACCCTGTTGCCACTTGAAGCTCTGCTATTTACGCTTACATTAGACGGCACGACTTTTTGAGATGCAAGTCCTTTGGAAGATCCAGAGAACTACATTAATGCAGGCAAAAGGCCTCTGATTTCGTTGGCTAAAGGCTCATTTCCAGTGACTTTGTGACCACCCAACCCAGGAGGCTTGAAAATGGACTCGACATTTATGAGACAATTTAGCTCTGTGCTCCACAGCGCTCCTGCTGGCGGCCAATTCGGCAATGGCCATGGCTGTGACGTATCTGGAAGAGTTCTTCACAGAGCTGTCCAGGTTGCCTGCCTGGAGAGGAATAGGGAGCCGACTCAGTTTAATAAACAGACTCACGTATTCATTCATAACTACTTCAAAACCCTTCCAACAAACACACTTGAAATGAAAAAAAGTCTCTTAAGATAAATATAAAGGAACTTTGCGAATGCTTTCAGATTAGTGATCTCACAGTATTTGTGATGGTATTTGCATCCTCTCCTTTTGCCCAAAACAGGATGCAGCTGCAGAAGGAGCACAACTGCCAACGGAGTGTTGATCGCGCTGCGATTAAGCACCACTGTCTTGAGATCTTGACGATAGAAATCTGACCTCATCCTAATGCTGATGCTGACCGACACTTGTCATTGGCATCACACATAGGTACAGCGTTTTAAGTTCCCGTAGTTTAGACACAAATTTTTGCCACGCTCTGATACTAACATCCAACCAAATTGTGGTAATGCTAACCTGCATCCACTCAATTGTAAGTGCTTCTGCCTTTCCTCCTTCTTCTGCACTGCTGGACGAGGAGACGTGAAGAGAAGAACTCAGACGGAACCACATTGCGACGGCAACCGTATGATTGCTGAAAAATCCTTTGTTTTTGCCCCACTTAATCAACAAACCGGATCAGCTTTTGGCAGCCTCTGTTGCAAGAACATTCTCCCTCCTCCACTACCTTTTGCGCGATTCTGGCTTCTAAAGTTATTCTTGCTTAAAAATAGTAGCCATTTTACCTCCGAGATCTCAGCAAAAAAAATAAGACTGAAAGAATGATTTTGTTTTAACCAATTTACCCATGATGTAGTAATTAAATTCTAGATTGTGTTAGAGCGAAACGAACCAACAGTTCGAAGTGTATTTTCCCTAGGGCGTGAACTAAAAGGTCAATCACCATCGCTCAGACGCTTTTCACCTTCCACTTGCAATTGCCTCGACTCCAGACTTCCTCGTTCTTCATCGAATGCGCCCTGCGTGTGATGTGCGATCTCAAGTGATTCAACTACGATGACGCATTAGTGTGTGACGTTGGCAGGTGACGTACTGCACCTAATAATGTTTTAACCTAACATTACCATTAAAATAATTAATGCAGGCAACTAGGAAACGTATTGAGCCTCTAAGCGGGTTTATAAACTCCTTCTTTACAATAAATAATCAGGCGACAGTCGGGTTGTGGATTTCGTAGCTAAATTTTTCTATGCACAAGATTATCCCACGGCATAGTTGTAGGGCTAAACTCTCAACCATCTCATGTGTAAAACAAGTTTAGCAAAGATAAAAAGAAGGTGATAAAAGAGGGCAATGAGACATCAGATACTTTACAAGTAGGAAAGAAAATGAGACCAATTTGACGTGATTAATAAGTATGATTGCCTCCGCACAGCCAATTAGGCCCAGTTTTAATCAGAAGCAGCAAAAACATGAGGAGTGCAAGAGTTTAGCGCTAAGGCTCTTAAAAAAAGAGCAGCGGAGAGAACTTAACCGACAGTGCGCAAGAACAATAAACAACCTTTAATGGTTGTGGGGATGTCGCAAACCTACGCGACCTCCTCCAAGTGTGTTTATA